TTGCTTTCAAACTAGGTGTTTAAAAATAGGCTTTTGTAACTTTGGCATCACACAAATCATATACATTAACAGACCACTTGGCGTATCATAACATGCTTTTTATCTTAGGTGGGTCCTGGACAACAGACCCACACATTCACAGCTGTAAGGTTCAAAACACCCATGTGCAGGTAACAAAAAAACACTCCACTACAAACCAAACAAACACCAAACAAAGATCTTAGCTCCTCTTTGAGCTCCGGACTTAACTTCTCCACTGATTCCCTACCTGTCATACTGGGCAGCTGAGATGCTTACTGGCTTCAAAACAGCACCTCAGTCTCGCACCGAGACTCTCCTCAAAACGTTTAAAGATCTCTCTACCCGCAAGTACCTTTATTCTGCAAAAGGTACAAGTTGGCTCCTTTTGAATTGGCAGGAGAACGAGGTTCTGCTTTCTGTTCTGCACATGGCAGATGAATTCACTGACACAGGTAGCCTTTGCTTCCTGCTTTTCAAACATCCAGCAACTTCCTGCAATGAGTGAAGTTACAGACAGCAGCAGCTCCTTCCTCAGGTCTTTCTGGGGAATGTGGTCTAGAAAGGCCTGTGCTCTCATAACACCAATACTTCAATAAAGTCTGATTCATCAGATATAGGAGGTGTAATACATTACTGAGTAATTCCAGGATTTTAATACAAACTGCTTTGCCCCATAGATGAAAAGACTGAAAAAAGCTGAGGAAGACTCATTTGAAGTGCTGAAGAAGTACTGCAAAGGAGGCAATCTTCGGAAGGTCCAGCCCTTTCTGCTTCCAGAGTAAGTAAACTCCAGGTCAATTTAAAAAAGTTTAAATTATGCCGACCCCAGATGTCATACTGTAATCTGCTGCTGATGCATGGAAAAGTAAATAATAAGCAGCTTTCATATTTTAGCAGGGAATTCTGGGTCTAGGTGAGCTGTAGTGCCAGCTATGAAAACAGGTAGAAAGAAAATTTGCTTTTCTTTCAGCTGACACCATGAAATGCACGGATACAAAGATATCCGTATCTAACAGCATAGATTTCAAAATGATCTCAACTTGCTTATTTAGTTATTAGTAGTTGATATGAAAATCGCATTCATCCATTTCTTTAATGAATGATTTGAGGCCCTTTACAAATATACTGTTCATCTCCCCACTCATACTCACCCTGTTTGCATCCTTTAATTGATTTAATCCCTTCACAGGGAATATTCAGATCCCCTCTAATTTATATACCCAGATGATGATATTAACTGTGCCACTATCCTATCCTATCTTTCATCAGCAGATCAGCAGTGTAAGATGCTGCTTTTAGGTGCAGTTTGGTCAGGGTCTCTGGTCATAACTGCATACCTGATGACTCTTATATGACAAAATAACAAAATAACAATATCGGCTACTATTTTAATTCTGTCTCTTAATCTTTAAATGAACCTAGCACTTTAACCAACAGTGCTATGACAGCTTTCCTCAGAGAGCTGCATTCTCTTTTATTACTATGACAGACAGGAGCTCTAAACCTGTCTGTAAGAAG